AGAGGAGGTGGAGAGGGAGGTGGACGGACTCGGCTTAAACAACGGACTGCATCCTACCAACCGGGCGTAAAATGCGTACCCGGTTAAAAAATTTGGACTGAAAATCATTAGCGTTGATCTGACAGGTTTTTTCATTATATTTTCCCCTTCTTTCCTTTTCAGGTAATTAATTAGTGGTCTCTTTTTTCTATTTTGAAAAATGAAGAAAGTAGCACTTTCACTTATGATAAGTTTTTTGGTAACTCCGTGATGTTACTTTCTTACAAAGGCGGCAAATTATTATGCTATTTCACGTTGCTATACTTCAGTCGTTTAATTGAAGTACATCGGCGGCTACATTGATGTGAATATGTTTGGCTTGCCGGAACGCCGTTTGTAAAACTCAGGCATTCAGACTTTGACGAAAAGGCTCAAAACAGGAAGATAATTGTTTACGTGATACCTTTATTTTTTTAACTTGCTTAGAGTTACAGTAAATTTTTAAGAATATGGGTGATTTCTCGACGAAACGTTGAATTTCATGGTTTTCTTTTGAAAAAAGAAAATATCCACGCAGATGTTATCCTTATTCGTGTCGTAAGCTGTATGTGGCGTCAGATATTTGGGAAACAGTGTTTCCAATCCTTGGGCTCTCATAGATCGATACCTTCACATGGAAAAAAAACAGCCAAAAGAACAAAAACGACAAATGAACAAATGACACCTTCAGCCAACAATGAAAATACAATCAAATTAATTATACGCGTTCAAAATTAGTGATTACTTTTTGTTCTTTATTTGAAGGGGAAGCAGCTAATGCAACATGATGAATGATCAGTGCCAGGATCATCATCTAGGAGAGTATGATGTCTACCATGCACAAATGCAAGTTTGCCATGTTTTTTCACGACCAAATCTTGAGTTTCAATCAGCTGCATGGCCATGAAACGGTTAATGACATCTTCGTTTGGGCCGGTAATTATGTTATTCCCAATTCTAAGTAAACCTAGAACTCCAACCGTAATCCCCAGAATAGAACCAATCGCACAGTAAACAGCCCCAGTTATGATACTTGAGATGCCTGCAGCCAATCCAGTCCTACCGAGAAAAGACCAGGTAAATAATTTTTAAAAAAAGTAGAAGAGAACAAGAGCGTCTTTATATAGGTGAGTGCCTGTTGTATTTTGTTGCAAAGAAAAATAGCGATAAACAATGGAAGACGAACATGCCAAAATAAAAGCGAAAAGCAATACCTTTCCCAGTCCACATTGATCGACATCTTCCCTTCAGCCACAACAACATCATACCTATGTTTTTTTGATCGGGCAAATATTAGAATGGTCTTTCGTATGGGACCTGATTCTTGGTGATCAATGACAAGCGACCGGGCCCTCGATCCGTAACGTTGCGCTTCTGATATTTGGTAGTAGTCCATCATTTTTCCAAACTCATCCTCAGTCAGACCTTTCGCATCGTCGCGCCGAAACGTAAAGTTATAGTTGTAAAGATCCATCCTTCCGAGACTTTTTGCGTAGTCTCGGAAGGCTGTGGTGAGATCACCTACCATGCCAAAGTCTTGTTTGATGACCGAGTTGTCCATAATCTGAAGACAGAGGAATGTAGTACGTACATAAAGTTACGATTGGGAAGAGTGACTTTGTTACAAATGCAGGTGAATTTTTAAAGAGCTACGTCATTTTAAATGTATGTTCCGCACTCTTAATTCCCCTAATCGCATCTAACAAATTCTTATCACAAGATTAATGTTATTACGATTCTTTCAAGGAGAATCGAGGTTCTCTGCAACGAGACTGAGTAGAAAAGAATTCTTTTGGCAAGAATGTATTACATCGGAGTATCTTGAGAAGAATCTCTATTTCAGAAAGTCTTGCTACAAGAATCGGGAATTCTTTTCTCAAGAACGTGAATTCCTTTTGGCAAGCAATGAAGTAGAGAGTTCTTCTGGAAAGACTGTTTAATTGCAAATCTTAGAGAAAGAATCACAATTTCAGAAACTAAATTTGAGGAATTCTTTTTCTCGAGAACTAGAATTCTTTTTGGCAGGCAATTAAGAAGAAAGTTTTTCTGGAAAAAATATTTATTTGCAAATCTTGAAAAGAATCGCAATTTCAGAAGTCATAAGATAAGAGGCAGAATCTTTGTTAAAAGGATATGAATTCTTACAGTCAAAATTTTATTAAGTAAACCTTTTTTGTCAGTAACTTTGGTGATTATACACATTCATATCTGATGTAGCTGTGCTTCATGACAGCGGTGGAGTAGGTACTTAAACGTTTCCCTGGGAAAACGAAAAATGATGTCGTAACCGCCATAAGTTACATTAAATTTTGGTGTAAAAACTCTTGATCAATATCATTATCTGGGCAACTACCATTCAATCTGGGAATGAAGATGATGACGTAATATGTGACTAACACAGTCAATAGACTGTACCATTTTACGCCACCATCTGCGTCGTCATATATTAAATAAATTATTATATATATATATATATATATATATATATATAAAGTATATTAACGGCGTAAAATTTTGCATCATATATATTACCGACTGGAGGAAATTACGCTGTTAGTTAACGAGTAAAATCGTACAGTATATATATAGTACCAACCAGAGGAAATTACGCCGTTACTTGACAATAGATATTACCGACTGAAAAAATTACGCCGTTAACGGCGTAAAAAAATCTTACATATACTGTGAAGTTTTACGCCGCTAACTAACGGCGTTATTTCTACCAGTATGTGATGTTTATACGGTAAGATTTTACGCCGTTGGTTAACGGCTTATGCATATCGAAGCAGATAGTGGCGTATAATCGTACAATGTATAGACTGTGTTAGTCACATATTATGCCGTTATCTTTTTGCCGCTTCGATCTCATATGAGGAATGATATTTCAGCGGCCAATACCACCTTCCGCTCTAAAGTTAACTTCTACGTTAGGAGGGCATTCAAATCTGGGTTCATATTGAGTGATGCATTGGTATACTCGGAGTGTCAGATGGGTTCTATTAATTTATTGACGTGTAACAACTGCTTTGTTGCAGATTGTCAGCGGTATGCGGTATGGGGTATGATCAAGGAATGATATATCTAAGTAATATACAAAGAATGAGATATGTAGATAAAAAATGAAAGTTGTCAATACAGTGAATTTTCATAAAGTTGTTCATTGATAATTTGATGTATACAATATGTTGTTATGAATATGTATGTGAATTGTATGTTAAAAGATAAAACCAAATAAAATGGGGTATGATTTAAAAGTGACGTATCTTTTAACTTAGATACAAAGTATGAGGTATGTAGATACATAATGGTAATTGAATTGAGTGGAGTGCAGTTTGGGCTGAAATTATACGTGTGATTTCAAAATCGAACAAGTGCGCAGCGCGAGTTCGATTTGAAATCACAAGTGTGATTTCAGACCAAAATTGCGCGACACGAGGTTCAATTACCACTTTATTACATGCATTTTGAAATCACCCAGATACAGGAATTGGTCAGTTCAAGTATTTCATTGATGCAGTACTGAGCCGGTTTGAAATTAAATCATCCATATTTTTGGGATTTCAAAATCGAACAAGTGTGCAGCGCGAGTTCGATTTGAAATCACAAGTATGATTTCAGACCAAAATTGCGCGACTCGAGGTTCAATTACCACTTTATTACATCCATTTTGAAATCGCCCAAATACAGGACTTGATCAGTTCAAATATTTTGTTGATGCAGTACTGAGCCGGTTTGAAATTAAATTCATCCATTTTGGGGAGGGAAAAATAAGAGTTCTGGAAACAAAGGTTGCAAAACTTGCCACATGATACTCTTTGCCTTTCATTTTCCTGCAATTTGATCGGTTACTTTAAAAAAGCCTTAAAATCTGATTATTTTTTGTTTGGTCATAAGAGGTCGACTTATACACGAGAAAATACGGTAGTTGTTCATTGATAACTTGATGCATACATTATGAATATACAAGTTAATTTTAAGTTATGCTGATTGTATGTTAGACATAAAACTAAATAAATCAAAATTCTTTTCAATGTAATTTCATGTGTTAGACGAAAATCAATCCTTTCAATAATTCGACAAAACCCAGTAAAGGCATGAGATTTTTCTCAATTGAATATTCAGACCTCAAAAGAGCACAAAAACTTTATCAGCAAGAATACTTTTGAATGTTATTCTTCACACAAGCAAATTTAAATCTCTGGAAAGATTCTATTGATTTAAAAGCGAATATTCATTCTTGGGTGAAGGACAAAAATTCTTATGAGAAGACTCAGAAACTGACATTCTTCTCAAACAGATATTGGGTCTGTGAAGAGCAGTAATTCTTCTGATAAGCCTCCTTGAAATATGAGATTCTGCTCAAATGGAAATCGTCTTGGCAGGGGTTATTTACTTGTTGTTGGCAAAATATTTTTGTTCTTGTGGGAAAAAACTAGCATTCTAACTAGAATCAGACATAAATGAGGTTCTTCTCATAGGAATTCGTAACCTTGGGAGAAGACACACAGATCTTTCCTTAAATGGATATCATCTTGGGAGGAGAGCAGTGTTTCCTCTCGGAAGAGTATCTCATAAACCGGCTCTTGGCAAAAGAATTTTCCTCTTGTGGGAAAAAAACTACTTTTCTTCTTACAAGAATCAGACATACTTGAGATTCGTCTCATAAGAATTCTTAACCTTAGGAGAAGACCCACAGTTTTGTTCCTCAAGAACCCGATTCCTTATCTTGAGAATTATAATTCTCCTCTAAGGATGAAGAATCTGAAATAATCAATTCTCCTCTGAAGAAACATGAATCTTTCAGAAAGAATTCAATTTCCTTTTGAAAGAATTGGACTTAAGAGTTGGCTTTCAAGCTGTAGAATATGCCTTTGTTTACAAATAAAATTGGGTTAAATACTCTCAGATTCACAAATCTTAATTCAGCTCCTTTGAATTAAAGGTAGATGGAAAAATGAGATTAGCGACGGGCATTCTGTTGGAGTCTATGAGAATGACCGTGGTAAGCGGTCAGAAAAAGTGACAAGAAAAAAAAGGCAGCTAGTGACTACGCCGAGTGGATTTCACAAGAGAGAATGAGGATCATGAAGGGAAAGGAGCTTTAGCTCTAAGAAATGCTAGCTTAAGTCTCTTCGTTATCTTTGGAGAAGACAAACTGCTCTGGTTTTCAGAGAGTTGGATAGGCTTATTCACTGGGTAAATCCTATCCCTCGGATAAGAGAAACCTTAAAAAGCCTTGTTTGTTTATCACAGCAGCAATGCTAAGCGGATTGAAAGAAATGTTCAATTGGATTTTGTAATTCATAATTTTTTTTTCCTAGTAGTAGCATTGAGTGTGTAAAGGAAATTAACGGCTTACTTACCGAGTGAAAAGTTTGTGAATCAACATAACAAACAACTTAAACTACCCTCCAACTCTCGAAGATAATTAATCACATTATAAAATTAACAGAAAGCATGGATAAAGGCATACTGATGTAACAAGGAAAAGAATACATTTTGGAGTTTTATTCCAGATTTTAAACACGTCTGGAAAATGAATAACAAGAGAATAAGTCACTACTCCAACTACGTCTACCTGCAATGCATAACAGGAGATTGCGAATAGCCGTAAGCCAATCAATCGACCTTCGAAAAACATCGCTGTGTCCTTTTTACTCTAGATTTTCCCAAAAAGCGTTGGGATAAAGAGAAATCATCCGAGTCCTAATGAAGAGTGAATTTGTCACAAAACATCCCATCAACCAAGTGCATCCACAGAACTGGGAAAAATATGGCCTCACAAGACTGAAAGCTGCGTTGAATTAGTTTTCATTGCAATATCTTATTCACCAACTTTTTCTCGCAACGCAAAAGAAGAATGAAGAACTAACGCGTAGTAAACAAGAGAAACGATTGAAATAGAAGAGTTTCAAGATTTTCTTTGTCGTTGGCAAAGAGCATTTGTTTCTATTTTGGGTCTACTTGCGGACATTTACAGTTCTATTCGATAAATGAACACACGATCAAGTCGAATGGAAACTTCTTTCCGAAGATTCGAGAGCACTTACTTTTCCATGAAGGAGAAATAAGTTGATACATATAAGAAATATGAAATATCGAGCCGTAGCCAGTTGAGTGAATGTTATGGATGAGACGAAGAGTTTATATGTCTTCTCTTAGCTCATGCGGGTTGATATTCTAAAAAAACAGGAAACCAAGACGCTTACATCAGCATAAAAGTCATAAAATTTTTGCAGAAATTTACTTCATCACCACCTTGAAAAGGTGAAGACCTAATTTGAATAACATGCAAACAACTATTCAAACAAGTCTCCAAAACGGTAAGATGATTGTTTCCGAGAAAAGGGTGGTTACCTGAAAGCAAGACGGGAAGAGAGGGAGAGGGGATGGTCGGAAAAATCAAAGATTTGTGTTCGCATGCTTTTTCTCTCAGCTCAAAATGGCATTGAGGATTTTAATACGTTTTCTAGTAACTCTGTGATGGCACCTTTTTAAAGGTGCAGTCTCTCTAAAGCCGTCCGATGCATTTCGGTTCAAAATATCGATTTCTTTCAAACTTTGCCCATTAATCTTTCTTTCTTAGTCTAAAAA